TGGGATCGTGTCTTCCATTTTTTGCACCCTCTAAGTCTAGCCTCATGTCTACCAATTAACAGATGCTCAATAGCCGCCAAATGAATGAATGAAAATATGCCATTTGATTTTTGTAACAACTGGGTGAAGTAAAGCATATAATCCCCAAGCAAAGAAGGCATACATGAGTTAGTTTCTTCAACAAGGAAAAAGCAAAAAATAATTTCTAATTTGCAAACTATCAACGGCAACAGATTCAATGTTCTGATACCATCTGTAAGACAGAGACCTGCCTATTATTCTCTGGGGTCAAGGGTATAAATCCAACAAGAAAAAGATTATCCAGTGAGAAAATGGCAATAAAACAAAAGCCGTAAGCAGAAAAACTTTCAAAGAAGGTCAGCAGTATAGCTAAGAAGAATTCCCCACTGACTATGCCATGTGGTAGGCATGTCATGAGAAGATTTAGAGCAGACATAAAATACCCACAGCAGGGATGTTTGGCTTCAGTTAAATGAACTGAACTAAATTTCCATTCTGTCTTTTGCCTGATTGAGTCTGTAAAATGCTTATATATGGGCACTACAGAAATGAGATTTTTTGATGTAGATCAGATCATAATTATAGCTAAATGACTAGGTTATAGTAAGACAAATCTGGTCTAGATACATGAATGAACTTCCTGAGAGCCAATGACCTTAGATTCTGAAACTGTTATCCAGGGAAATTATATAATTACAATCTTAAGGAATATTAAGAACAGAAAAGATCCTTGAAATATTTAAACAGAATCCTGCCTAAAGGCTACCCTAGACAACTTCATGAGGATTTTTTCCAAGCCTCTTCTACTCCAGTCCAAAACATATATACACACACACTTTTTATTTGCAGCAGTTTTTGTCAAATTGCTTTTAGGACTACAGTATTATAACACATCTCAAAGGGGAAAACTGTGAAAATAAAAATATACCAAGGGAACTATTTAACACTTCACAGGAAAACCACTTTCACCAGTGGATTGCCACACAAAAATGTCGAAAGTCTTTGTACTCTTTCTGGCAAAACAAACAGGATATTCAGCAGCGAGGGGCCCCTTACAATACAGATATCGCTTAGGCTCCCAAAGTCAAATATACTAATGATTAAAAAAATAAAACAAAACACTGACACGCAGAAAGAATAGAAAAAATTATTTACTTTCACCGAGACAATTCTTAAACATCTTGAAATGTTTAATTTAGTCATTTTTTTCACCACCATTGTTTTGGCAAAGAAAAATTGTTTCCAATGGGTCCATGGCTCGGGAGAAATTCAGGGGTGTTTAAGAAGCTGCCCTGGGGAAGGAGGCAGAGGCTGGGCAGAAGCCCTGAGGACAGGGGCCGGCAGCAGTACCCGTCAAAGTCCACTGGATCTTTTTATTTCACTTGGAACTTTTACATTTATGTTCATGAGAGAAATTAGTCTGTAAATGTTGCTTTTTTATAATGTCCTTGTCAGGCTGGTATCAAGGTTATGTCGGCCTCTAGAATTCTTTGGGAAGTATTTCCTGTTTTTCATTCTCTAGAATAGTTTATGTAAAACTTGCTGTTACTTTTCCCCTTAAATATTTAGGGTTCCCCTAATGAAGACCTCTGAGCCTGGACCTGTGCCTAAATTTTTCTTTTTTGCAAGATTTTTAATAAGTGATTTAATTCTTTTAAGTAACATGGGATTACTCAGATTTCTATTTCTTTCTGCATCTACCTTCAGTTTCTTATTTTTAAAGAAGTTTATTTAGTTCATCAAAATGATCAAATTTTTTAGTGTAAAGTTGTTCATAATGTTTTCTTACTAATATTTACTGTTTCTAGGCTCTGTAGTAATGGCTCCTTTTTCATTCCTAATATTGGTAAATGGTGTCTTCTCTTTTCTTTTTACTGATTAATAAAAGTGATATGTCCCTGACAAAACTAAGTTTTCAGAGAAACAGTTTTTGGCTTTGTTGATTTTCTCCATGGTACATTTGTTTTTTATTTCATTGTAATTAATTAAAATAATTGCAGTTAAGGCTCTGACATTCCCTCTAAGCACTGCTTTAGCTGCATATGGTAAGTTTTCATGTTTTATCTTCATTCTTCTTTTCTTCAAACTATTTCCTAATTTCTACTGTAATTTTATCTTTGACCCAGAATTCTTTAAAAATGTACTGCTTATGAATTTCTAGCTTAATATCACTATCATCAGAGAACATACTCTGGAAAATAACCCAGGATATGATAAACTATGGTAAATGTGCCATGGACACTTGAAAATACATTCTGTCACTGTTCAGTGTTTTTATGAATTATTTTCAGTTTTCTTGAGGAAATATCTAGCAGTAAAATGACTAGGTCATAGGGTAGGCATATATTTAACTACATAAAAATACTAAACAGTTTTCTAAAGTAGTTGTGCTCTTTCTACTTCCACTACCAATTTATGAGTTACAGTTAATCTACATCCTTGCACTATCTGATGCTGTTAAGTCATTTTGTTTTAAAGTTATTGTAGTAAGTATAAAGTGGTATCTCATTGTATACAGAGCTATTTTAAGATTTTTTCTTTTAATTTTAGACTTTCTATTTTATTCTATTTTAAAGATTCCAGTTCTCTAGTGAAATTATCCATATTTTCTCCATCTTTTCCTCTGTTTACTTGAAAGTATTAATCAATTGTTTTAAAGTCTGTCTGATAACACTAAAATATCTGTGTCATCTGTGAGTCTGCCTCTGTTGCCTCTTCATTCTCTTAGCTTTTGGTTATTTGGTCCTATCTCTTGGCACGCCTAAAAAACTTTGATTAAATGATGAATATTGTTTTAAAAATATTTAGAGGCTCCAAATGATGTATTCTATGACCAGAAAGAGTTCACCCTTTTCTCTGCTAGGCAGAGAGTACAGAATTTATCACCTTAATCCAATCTAGTCAAGGCACTTGGCAGAATCAAGGCTGCTCTGCAATTTGGGTAAGGATTATTCGACAGTTGGTTATACCATCCTCTTAGTGTATAACTCGCCACAGCTTTCATTTGCAATTTATACTTTCACTTTTTTGTCTGATATAAGGGCAGGCACTTCTGCTGTCTTTTCTTGAGCATTTGCATGCAATATCTTTTTCTATCCCTTCACTTCCAGGCTTTGTGTGTCCTTAAAGCTAAAGTGAGTCTCTTTTAGGCATCATTTCCCTTTTAAGACAGTCTGGTATTGGCAAAAGAAAAGAAAAATAGGTCAATGGCACAGAACAGAGAAACAGACCAGAAACAGACCCTAATAAATATAGTTAACTGATCTTGACAAAGAAGTGTAGGCAATACAATGAAGTAAAGATAGTCTTTTCAGCAAATGGTGCAGGAAAAATTTGAGTATCTGTATGCAAAAGAAATGAACTCAGACACAGATCTCTTACACCCCTTACAAAAATTAACTCAAAATTGATCATAAAGCTAAATGTAGAACACAAAACTATAAAATTCCTAGAAGATAACATAAAAGAAAATCTAGGTGACTTTGAGTATGACAGTGACTTATTAGATAAAACACCAAAGGCATGATCCATGAAAAAAAGAATTATAAGCTTGACTTCCATAAAATTAAAAACTTCTCTTCTCCAAAAGACAATGTCAAGAGAATGAGAATTTAAGCCACAGACTGGGAGGAATTATTTGCAAAAGACACATCTGATAAAATACTTTTACGTAAAATATACAAAGAACTCTTAAAACTTAAGAATAAGAAGACAAAGAGCCCAATTAAAAACGGGCCAAAGACCTGAACAGAGGCTTCACCAAAGAAGATATACAAATGGCTAGTAAGGATAGGAAAAGATGCTCCACACTATGTCATCAGAGAAATGCAATTTAAAACAAGGAAATACTACTACATACCTATTGGAGTGGCAAAAATCCAAAACCCTGACAGTATCAAATGCTGGCAAAAATGTGGAGCAACAGGAACCCTCATTCATTGCTGATGAATTGAAAAATGGCGCAGCCACTTTGGAAGAAAGTTTGGTGGTTTCTTAGAAAAGTGAACAGACTCTTACCATACAATCCAGTGGCATACTCCTTTGTATTCACCCAAAGGAGTGGAAAATTTATGTCCACACAAAACCTGCAAATGGATACCTACAGCAGCTTTATTTATAACTGCCAAATCTTGGAAGAAACTAAGATATCCTTCAGTAGGTGAATGGATAAATAAACTGGTATATCCAGACAATAGAGTTTTATTCAGCACTAAAAGGAAATAAGCTATCAAGCCATGAAAAGGAACTGGAGGAATGTTAAATGCATATTCCTAAGGGAAAAAAGCCAATCTGAAAAGGCTACATACTGTATGATTCCAATCACATGTCATTCTGGAAACAGCAAAACAATGGAGATAGTAACAAGATCAGTGGTTTCCACAGTTTGGGGAAGGGAGGGAGGAACATACAAAGCATGAAGCATTTTTAGGGCAATAAACTATTCTGTGTGATACTATATAACGTGGATATATGTCATTATACATTTGTCAATACCTGTAATAATGTATAACACTGAGTGAATTCTAATGTAAAATATGGATTATGATATGTCAATATAGGTTTATCAGTTGTAACAAATGCACCACTGTGGTACAGGATGTTGACAGTGCAGGAAGCAGGAGTATAGGGTAAATGGGAACTTTCCGTGTTTTCTATTTAATTTTGCTATGAACCTACATTCCAAAAAATAAAGTCTATTAAAAAAAAACATAGCTCTTAACCATCTTTTAATACTACTTCCCAGATCAAAAATAGTTGTTTTCATTATGGATCAGAAGGTAAAACCAGGAGGTGAGGAGTATAGCTCACTAGTAGAGCACATGCTTAGCATGCACGAGGTCCTGGGCTCAAGACCTCAGTGCCTCCGTTAAGGGGAAAAAAAAGAAGGTAAAATCACTGCCTGATTATTGCTAAAACTTAGCTCCTAAAATCATCTTAACTGGTAACTTAAGGCTCACAATGAGAATCAAAGAACTTACTTTTCAATTTTCTTCCTCTGTTCTTTTTGCCTGTGTTGTTCTTTCACTTGTTCTCTTTCAATATCCATGAAAAGTCGTCTATATCTCAGGTACTGCTTTTGACGCTAAAGGAAAGTTAAAATTGTTAAGATTCTGCTCTCAGAGGACCTTCCAAGAAAGGAAAAATACCCTCATGCCACAGACACGAAAACTATATGATACAAAAGTCACATGGAATTAAGTTCTTAATTCCCTTCTATTTATGGTGACTCGGTATAATGTGACACACAGCAAGAGCTTGTTATTTCCAAACATAATAGCTATTAGATGTTACAGACAAATCAGAGAAAGAAGTACTAATTCAGTCTGCACTTAGTTCATTGTCAACAGCACCTGTGGAAATGATGATATTTAATATGATAAGATACATACTATATTTACTCTGTGTTTGCTAAATAGTACCATAGAAGCAGAGCCAAAGAAAGAATATGAGAGATATTTTATAACAAAATAGTCACTTTAACTTTTCAAAATTAAAACCACAAAAGCATACTCTAAACCTAGCCTAATACGATGGGGAGGAGGGAGGAAGGACTGAGGAGTATTAGAGCATTCTACTTTTAAAGGGAACAAGTATAATAAAAGTGTGTAATCTGTTCATACTTATGAATTTATATATTCTCTTCTAAGGACACAAGCTACCTAAAGAGCAGTAGTATATTCATAGACATATTTTTGTCCTCTGAATAAATAGCTTGTGTGTTTTCGGTAAAAGTTATTAAAAGTCCAATAGTAGTTCTCAATATGGAGGATACATCACAATCATCAGCAGTATTTTTTAAAAGCACCTACGTCTCAAACCTACCTTTTCAGATACTGATTCACTATATCTGGTTTGGGCCCAGGCATCTGTATTTTGAAAAAAGTTTCACATCTGATTTTGATGCATGGCTAGCGTTAAAAACTGTTCATTTAAACTAACTTTAGATTGAAAAGAAAAAAAAGGAAGTCATAAATTAAAAGTCTTCCTTTGCGGGGAGGGTATAGCTCAGTAGAAGAGTGCGTGCTTAGCATGCATGAGGTTCTGGGTATAATAAATAAATAAATAAACCTTGATTAGCTCCCCTCACCTCTGGAAAAACAAACAAAAAAACCTCTTCTTTTAAATAAGCTATTTTGGCAAATATACACTAGCCAGAGAAACTCACTAGGATCAGATCTCTGATTTCACATCAATGTACCCTAAATCCTAGAAGCTTGGAAAAGAAGTTCAACATATTATCTTCTTTGCCTTTATCTATGGAATTTGTAGTACTAGCTCTTAATGTATTAGGACATAACAGATTGTTTCCAATTTCACATATACTATTATAGTAGAAATACTCATGTCCAAAAGCAATGATCACTACTTACCTCTTTCTTGTCTTCTTCTTGGTTTACTCCAGACTGAAATGCCAGTGGAGTTTGGTATTCAGTATTCAATCCTGATTGATATTCATCACCAACCTATTAGAAAACACAGTCACACAAAGTGATAAAACTGCCAAAAGTTAGCCCTATGCATGCTTTTGATAATTTCATCTATTGATTCTTTTTTCCTGCAATCTTGAGCTCAACTGGATAAAAAAACAAACATAAAAGAATAAAATTTTTTAAAAGAATAAAAGAAAGAAATTAACCAAGTGAAAAAACAATAACCCCCTAAAAAGATTCAGGTCAAAAACAGGATGAACTAATAAGAAATCAAAATGTTCAGAATGAAAGTTCTTCTGAAGTGGTCACTTGAAATCACTCTATCATGAATGTGTGCTTGGGACTGAATCCAGGATATAAAGCTAGATCCCTTAATATCTCAAATCTACAATCATTTTCAATTTATAGATATTCTTAATGGGTATGAGTTCAGAATAAAAGTTTGAAAATATTATAGCAATCAACTGACATGGCAGCAAGGAAACTCAAGCTTATTTCCCCCAAAATTAATAGAAAAGCCTGTCGACACAGTATATATTTAGTTGGACATTATATAGCTCAAATTATGATCTCTAACTTATTGAAATAAAAGTTTAAAATTACTTTAGTCTTTATAGCTTAAAAGTAATTTATTTTTCAGCAAATTTGCAAGATAGAAGATCAGTATACAAAAATAAATTGTATTTTTATTCACTTGCAATGAACAATCTGAAAATGAAATTAAGAGAAAAATCCATTTAAAATACCATCAAAAAATACTTAAGAATAAATTTAACAAAGGAAGTGTAAATTGTATACTCTGAAAACTTCAAAACATTTTTCAAAGAAATAAAAGATCTAAATGAATAAAAATACATCTTTTGTTCATGGATCAGAAGCCTTAATATTGTTAAAATGGCAGTACTCTCCAAATTGATCAACAGATACAATGCAACCTGCATTAAAATTTCAGTTGATTTCTTAGTAGAAGTTGATATGGTAATCCTTAAATTCATACAAAAATGCAAGGGACCCAGAATAGCTGAGATGATCTTGAAACAGAAGAACAAAGTTGGAGAACTCACTCTTCCCAATTTCAAAACTCATTACAAAGCTACAATAATCAACACTGGGGGACACTGGCATAAGGACGGACTTACAGATCAGTGGAATCGAACTGATAGTTCAGAAATAAACCGTTATATTTACAATCAACTGATTTTTGACAAGAGTGACAAGAGAATTCAGTGGATTAGATGAGTCTTTCCAATAAATAATGTTAGGACAACTGGATATCCACATGCAAAAAAGAATGAAGTTGGCACCCTACCTAACATCATATTTGAAAACTAATGCAAAGTAGATCATAGACCTAAATGCAAGAGATAAAATTCTTAGAGAAACACACAGGAGTAAATCTTCACGACCTTGGATCAGGCAATGGTTTCTTAGCTATGACACTAAAAGCACAAGCTATGAAAAAATAAGTAACTTGGACTTCTTCAAACTTAAAAATTTCTGTGCTGCAAAGGAAACCATCGAGAAAGTGAAAAGACCACCCACAGGATAGGAGAAAACATCTGCAAATCACAAAGCCAATAGGAATCCTGTATGTAGACTATATTAAGGACTCACATGACTCAATAATCAAAAGACAATCCAATCACACGTTGGGCAGAGGATTTAGTAGTTTTCCAAAGAAGATATACATGTGGCCAATAAGCACATGAAAAGATGATCATTAATCATCAAGAAAATATAAACCAAATACAGAATGAGATACCACTTCACACCCATTAAGAGAGCTATAATTAAAAAGCCAGACAGTAACAAGTGTTGATGAGGGTGTGGAGAAACTGCAACCCTCGTAATACTGCTGGTAAGAATGAAAAATAGTGCAGCCACTTTGGAAACCAGTTTGGTAGTTCCTCAAAAGATTAAGCATATGGTTATATGTTTAAGCAATTTCCCTCCTAGGTATATACCCAAAAGAAATGGAAACATATATCACAGAAAAACTTGTAAACCAATGTTCATAAACAGCATTATTCATGGCAGTCAAGAAGTGAAAACAATCCAGATGTCCATCAACTGATGAATGAACAAATAAAATGTGCTATATGCATACAATGAACTATTATCCAATGAATAGGAATGAAGCACTGCTACATGCTACAAGGTTAATAAACTTCGAAAACATTATGCTAAGCGAAAGAAGCCAGTGACAAAAGGCCATATATTCCATGAGCCTATTTATATTAAATGTCCAGAATAGGCAAATCTATAGACAGAAAGTAGACTAGTGGTTGCCTAGGGCTGGGAGGGGGAGATAAGGGGGAAAAAGAAGTGAGTGGCTGCTAACGGGTGTAGAACCTTTGCGGGTGATGGAGATCTAGTTCTGGCCGTTGGGTGGAAGATCCTCCTGACCCTTCCCTCTTGGAAACCAGTTATTTCTTCCCTTCTCACACCATAAAAGATAACAGCCACCAGAAATACATCTTTTATAAAGGACCATACATAGAAAATAAAATTTTTCAAATAGGCAATAATTGCTCCTGACAATGCCCTAGGCTTCAGAGAGAGCCCTAAAGTAATCTTAGGTCAGGATAGGTTTTACACACTATGAAATAAAACAAGAATCTTATTTTTGCTCACCCTTACTGTTCCCAGCTCAGCAGGTACCAATAAAACTATCTAAATTCTACTGCTCATCCTCTATGGTCTGCTCTACCTGTCTTCTGATGGAAGCCTCTCTCTGGTGCTGGGGTGGACGATGCTGATGGCCATCCAGCAGCAAATCATCTTGCCACTGTTCAGCTCTTCCAAAAGACAGCTGCTGTTTGGAATATAAGCTCTAAAAGAAACAAAAGCATTCACCAAATTGTGTGAGCCATGACATAATGGTAGTAAAAATACCTTAGGCTGCAGGG